TTAAACTTGAAGGGTTGTACTGCCCGGCAAATCCATGTTGAAATAAAAGCTGACTGTAGTGACGACTACGTGGTAAAAAAGGAATGTCCAAACTGGCCACATGTCCCGCACGGACGAGCCAAGGACTGGACGACCATCATTTACGGACGATGCGAAAGTGGAGGAGCTCATCCACGGACATCGACAAGTGACCATCCACATAATCACGTATGAATCTGCTCTTAGTAACTAAGAACAGTGTGTGGGAAATTATTCACGACGAACTGCACGTGTCTAAGGTGTCATTATGCTTGATTCCGCGCTTGCTGTCTCCTCTCCATAAGCAGACTCTCTCGACACTACGAGTGATTTTTTCTTTATTCCCAGAAATGCGAAACAAACACAACGCGGTCGGCGATTTGATGACGCAGATGATGTCATTCAAACAACAGAGCTGGTTTATAGTGCAATCTCAGGACTTTTACAATGGTGGTTTGCAGACGGTTAGAAACCATGAGGGAAATCGGGATAAAATTTCGGTCTCCTTTCCTTAATGTGGATGAGGTGGATGCTGGAGATATTCATGTGGATGAGGTGGATGAGGAGTAATGAATAGCACTTTAATGACGTTAGGCAGTAATGAATAACACTTTAATGACGCAAGGCAATAATGAATAGCACTTTAATAACGAATAATGAATAACAGTTACAACGTCAGGCAATAATAAATAACAGTAATAACCAGGCACAAGATCATCCTATCAGCTGAAAAACGTTTTCTTTCTTTTTTTTTTATGAACACAATAAGTCGGTTTTGGAATTCAGGAAAAGAACACGGTCGGACGAGGCGCCGCGTGACTGCAATGATCACAGTTTGTTTCGTATTTCAGGCACGTTCGTTGCAATAAGGGGAGATCGATGTGGATTGAAAGGAAGGCTGGAGAGATTGGTGTGGATGAAGGGAAGGCTTGATGTGGATGAGGTGGATTGTGGTTAGATTGATGTAAATGAGGTGGAAGCTGGAGAGATTGATGTGGATGAGGTGGATGGTAGAGAGATTGATGTGGATGAGGCGGATGGTGGATTGATGTGGATGAGGTGGATGGTGGAGAGATTGATGTGGATGAGGTGGAAGCTGAAGAGATTGATGTGGATGAGGCGGATGGATGGTGGAGAGATTGATGTGGATGAGGCGGATGGATGGTGGAGAGATTGATGTGGAATAGGCGGATGGATGGTGGAGAGATTGATGTGGATGAGGCGGATGGTGGATTCATGTGGATGAAGTGGATGCTGGAGAGATTGATGTGGATGAGGTGGAAGCTGGAGAGATTGATGTAGATGAGGCGGATGGATGGTGGAAAGATTGATGTGGATGAGGCGGATGGATGGTGGAGAGATTGATGTGGATGAGGTGGAAGCTGGAGAGATTGATGTGGATGAGGCGGATGGATGGTGGAGAGATTGATGTGGATGAGGTGGAAGCTGGAGAGATTCATGTGGATGAGTTTGATGCCGGGGAATTGATGTGGATGAGGTGGATGCCGAAGAGACTAATTGTGGATGAGGTGGATTCAGGGAAAGATTGACGTGAATGAGGGAAGGTCCGGAGAGATTCATGTGGATGAGGTAGATGCTGGAAAAATAAATGTGGATGTGGTGGATGATACAGGCAAGAATAGTATAGATGAGGTGGAGAGATTGATGTGGAGGCGGTGGATTCTGGGAGAGAGACTGGCGCGGATGAGGAAATTTCCGGGGAATTTCTCTATCTCTTTCCGGAGAATTTCCCTATCTCGCAGTATATCGAAACTCAGAGCTTCCAGTTTGAATTTTAGCCGTAAATTATCTCGTTTTCATGGGTAAAAAAAAGAAAAAAATAGGCGACTTGAAGTGATGTATTTTATCATTATAGTTGGATATTTAAAGAAGTCACTCGACATTCAGGCATATTTTTTTCCTCAGACACGTTTTCTTTATTATTTTATCTTAAACTCCTGAAAAAAATACGGTAAATCTATTAATTTTTCACAATATAACTATATATTTTTGTTACTCGTACGCCTGGCAGAGATGCGCTACGCAGTAACTGTATATTCAGTTGTCACATATTATTTTCTAAGGATAATTTTAGCCAATAGACCCATTGTTATTTTACCTTATTGGTGCAGAAAATACAGGAACTAGTAAGTTATTAATTGTATTAAGTTGTAGTTTGATGTTACATATAAAATAATGAATAAAATATTAAGTATCTGGCATCTTCCCACGGTAGCTGTTAGGGGAATATCTAAAGACAAGGGGAATACATGTCAAACATATGCTCCGCATTAAACTCCAGAGCTTAATTCACGATAACGATAACGCAAAAAAAATCAATAAGAATATAAAAAAAACAAATAGTCTAGCAAATACACACCCTAATAGCCAAATTCTATATAAGTAACCCTATGTAGTATCGTACATCTAGGGGAAAAACTGGTCCTTTCCCCCCCTGTCGACTGACCTGCGCTGCTGTTGT